ACGAAGCAACAGGTATTTGCGCAATGTTAATTAGGCAGATTACCTTGAAAAACATTGCTGCCGTATTTCTGATATAGTTTTTTGGAAATTTCTCAGTTCTTAATAATAATTAATTTCTTTTAATATTTTTTCTGTACTCCTATAACAGCGCCAGACAACACCTTTAGAGGAATGACGCCAATTTTGAATCACCCTGTATGCATAACTAACTACTTTAGGCGATCAAGAACATGTAACGGCAGAAAATGTTGAAAACATTTTGAATAAATTATATTTAGGAATGTTTTCCGGGCTTTGAAGCCGTGGTCTATCGGAATTTCTTCCTGACGTTTCGTCCACAACTGCGGTGGACATTTTCAAAGGCGATGAGGCAGTGGGCGAAGTGATCTCCCGTGCTTTCCGACTGATGTAGCAGGGCATTCAATAGGTCACCTCCTTCCTATCCACCGACTGAGAAATGTTTCATCCAAAAATTTACGCACAATGGCAGTATAGGTGGAGCAGCACCATCTTTAATGGATTTAGAAATAAGGACATCAATGTTAGAATTAATGCAAATTGGAGAAAATGGAGAAAATAGAATTTGTATCAATAGTTATTTTTCTAGATTTGGAAGCAGATATACCTATGTTAAAACGGATAAACATGCTACATTACATAGAAAGACATAAAAAATTCTAGAAAATTACCATTATTTTAATTAAACTTTTGCAGATCTATATTGATGCCATAATAGCATTTTATCTTCGAGAACAATCCGTAAACTTTCGCAAAACAGCGCACATAAACCAAGGAGATTCAATTTGACCCCAAAATTTTTTTCTCAGCCATCAATATCAGAATCAGCATATTTGAAGGTCTCGTTAATTACGCAATCTAATCAAATAGCAGTCGAATACATGTTTGCAATAAACAATTTAAAGGACCCTACTTAACTTCTTACTTTGTTTTCAATAGTTTCAAATAAAACAATCGAAAAGTTGAAAAGCCCCACTTTAGTAATTACAATGTATTTGACCCGTACTAATAAAGCTATGGATTTGCAACAATTCTAAATTTACTTTCAACTTCTCGTCCAGCGCAGTCTCATTGCAAAGTACAATCATTATTTGCTAATCATTAGAGATTAAAACGTTCTTGCAAGTTCAATATTATAGATTCTGCATCGAAGTTCGTAAATTCGTAAGCTTTTTGTGGAACTGATTTCAGACCTGCGAATATAGATCAATATGAAGTATGGTACAGTTTCACATAGTTTCAATTCCCAATAGCAGGTACGGAAGTGATCTATAATGAGATTAATTAAGAAATGAGTTACGGAAAATTTCTCTCGTGCGCTTCCAATTTTCAATATTTCATCAGACTATGAAGGCTTTCACGGCCGGTTAAATTACATTTAGGAATGTTTTCCGGGCTTTGAAGCCGTGGTCTATCGGAATTTCTTCCTGACGTTTCGTCCACAACTGCCGTGGACATTTTCAAAGGCGATGAGGCAGTGGGTGAAGTAATCTCCCGTGCTTTCCGACTAACACTGATTTAACTGCTGGATTTATGCTGCCCCGTCGTATTTATGCAGCCCAGCCGTGTGTGCTCATGCGTGGGGGATGGGTGGGGGTTCCAACGCTTCGGCGCACATGCTGTTTAGCGCAAAACGCGCTTCCAATCTGGATTGAGTGCCGTAATTTTTTCTTTTCTGTTAAAATTGTTTTGGTGTTTAAATATTTCGATGGCCTCTCTGGTGAGTCTCGAGTAGTATCTTTCAGATTGGTGCAGAATGTCAACTTCGTCGAAGCGTATTTGGGGGCCGTCTAGCAGTGCGTGCTCCGCTACTGCTGATTTTTCTGTTTGTCCTAATCGGCAACTGCACTACGTTTTGTGGTGCCGATATATGCTCTGTCACAACTGCATGGAACTCTGTAGACTCCTGGTGCTGATAAAGGATCCCGTTTGTCCTTGG